ATAACGAAAGATATAACTTAACGTTATCCTAATAGTAATGTAATTAGTACACCCCAGAGAGAAGGGACGCTGGCTGTGAAGCAATAGGAAGAGGAACGTCGCGTCGAGGTATCGAGCTATCGCCCAGATGCGCACGGATCCACTTCCCGTGCTCTTGAAAAAAGACAAGAAACATTGCAGTAGCACGTGGACTTCACTGAATGTTCAGCTGTAGCAATTAAGTTCTTTCTTTGATCTATCCCCCTAAAAGTTGATTCTTTATCTGAGTTGCACTAATTGGTCGCAGGTTGGTCTCCCATCGCGCCTTCGCTGCATCCACCAGTGAAACTCCCTGCGGATTGCTAGACCTGTTGAATGCCTGCAAATACCTCCTACAGCGACTCCCTTGAATCCCTTCCGATTGTTCATTCTTCCCTGAATGTGAAGCACTCCTCCATATGACCGATGCGTCACCCTTCCACTTACTCTACCACGCCAACATTGAACTCCATACTCTCTGCCCAGGTGCCCTTCTTCTCCACACGCAGAATGCAATCCACATTGCCCTTCCCGAGATCTCCTCCGTACAAATGCGCGAATACACCCCTGCCAGCCGCTTCCCACTTCACCTCACCTTTCCCTTCGCTGCCGTCTCCATCTATGCCTTTTGCTAGAACCTCATATTTGATCCTCAGTAGCCATATTTCCGTCGCATCAGCGAAGAACTTGTCTAATGTGGATGGCGTTTGTTCAGAGGTCGAGAGGTGGATGTAGCCGTCGTTGCGATCGAGGTCAGAGAGGGGCAGGCGTTCGGGCAGCGGGGAAGGAGGTGCGGATGGCAGGATTTTGAACAGATAGGTTGGGAGAGGGTATGGTGCGGCCATGGTGAAGAGCGATAATCTTTCTTGAATGAGCGGTCCTGAAAGAAGCAGATGGATTATCGATGGCGGGGTTGATGTGAGTGCGAGTCATGCAGAGGAAGCGAGGGGTTGTTGGCGCGTCAGGAGTATTGACATGCTTTAATATGATTGCAGTCTGTTGTGCATTGAGTACTACATACAATTCGTGATCCGTTGTTGATATCGATTCCATGCCATCCGTTTGCTATACATTTATGCATAGTCCCAATTTGCCATCGCTATCCGTTCTCATGCTTCCAATTTACAGACCGTGAAACGCCAACGCCAGACCGAGAATTTGATGCTCGAGCCAAATGAAGGAAAGAGGTTGGGGTATCCGATCAAGCATGTCATTGAAGCAAAGCTGTTCCAGACGAATCCTTCAATCGCTGTCGCTCAAGCTGTCCCTCCTGTTGACAGTCCTCACTCCGCCACGACGGTATCCATCCATGACGTCTCGACCGCGTCGAGCTTTCTGGCTCGGTCCTCCAACCTGGCTGACACTCTCGCTGACGCCGACGCTGCCAGCTGAGCTCAGGCCAGGGATATGGCAAGGATACTGAATAGTGCCTTGAACGTCGCCGTTAGTCTGTGTGAAGATGTCGGTGTCGGAGTCCTGGACTGCGCGAGAGGAACGGTGTTGCTTGCGAGGAGAGGAGTGGCGTGAGCGGGTTTCGGAGCGACGATCACGGTTGGAGCGAGCCTTCTCTGCATTGGGACGATAGTCGGAATAGTAGGAAGACTCATTGTACTCCGAGGGATTGGTACGCTGCTCAGTGCGGTTCTCAGTGTACGCGCCACTGTAGACTGTGTTGGTATCATCGCCGGTAGTGAACGAATAGGCGGCGGAAGGCTTTGAACGACGAGTTCGAGGGACCTCTGACCTGGCAGCCTCTGTGATGTCGAGTTCAGTCGGTGTTGCTTCGGTAGGAGCGGCTTCAGTCGGAGTGGGCTCGGGCTCTTTGATCTTTTTGTCCTTCTTTCCACGCTTCTCCTCGGCCTTCTTCTCCTTGGCGTGGACCTTTTCGGCGGTCTTCTTAGCTTTGGCTTCGGCAGCAGCGGTCTTAGCAGCCTCCTTCTCGGCCAGCTTAGCCTGCCTCATGCGTTCCTTTGCGCGGCGTTCCTTGTCCTTGGCCAACTTCTTCTTGTCCTTGGGCTCAACGAGCGGCTTGCTGGAAATATTGGAACCAAGGTCCGATCCGGTCATGGAAAAGTCGGTGTAGACTCCATCAGCTTGTCGATTGAGCCCCCCGACACGAGCGGCCTTCTCTTGGCGGTAGTTGCGAAGCTCAGGATCTTTCCAGTCGTTCTTGTAGTTCTCACGTTTATGCTTTTTGGTGTCTCCACCGCGGAGGCCGAATGTTCGATGACCTTTGCCTTCCTCAACCTCGCGCATCTCACTGTAGCCTGCGCTACTACTGGTCTCATCCGTATAGCCAACGGTCGGCGCGCCGTATGAACCACCGTGAACAACGCTTCCGCCGCCGAGTTTGGTGCTCTTGGTTGCATTGGAGAGTGTCTTGCCATCAGGGCCTTTGCGGCGAAGGACTGTGCTTTTGTAGTCCTCCCAGTCGTTCTGCCTCCACTTGAAGCCGCCGTTCTTGGCCCAGAAGAAGAACCAAAGGGCCGTTAGACACATGCCCATGCCGATGATGGCGAACAGCGCCTGGAAGCCCTTGTTGTTGAACTCGTCGGCCGGGCGCGAGCCATCGCTAGGGTTCCAGTTTCGTTGGTCATCGCGACTGATGAGGTGCGCCTCCATTAGGAACGAAGAAGAGCGGGTGTCGACGCTGAGGTGGGTCGCTGAGGTGGGTGGGCGTCAGTGACGACGCAGCGAGTGCGGACTGGCAGAATAGTCAGATGAACTCGATAGAAATTGGAGCTTGGGGGGAGAATGTGGGAGGTAGCTCCCGCTGTAGTTGTCGTGTGTGGTGTGGTGTGGCTGGAAAGTGAGGTGGTCGGGGAGAGGCTGGTCGATGACGCGAACAACAAACAGGGGGCTGGCCGAGCAACCGCGACCCTGAAACAAGCGACCACGGCCAGCCCACTCGTCACGCAAAATGTCCTCGTACCACGATTAGCCATTGACCTGTCCGTATAGATTCCTTGCAGACTCTGTGCAGATGTGCGCACCGCTCTACATGGGGATCCGCAGCCAAGCGACCGGACAAGCTTCCATCGGAGAAGTCGCTCCAACCGTCGTTCTGGAGAGGGTTTTGGACGGCGTAATCAAACACAGATGGACGCGGCCGTGTCAATCGGAGCAAAACATCTTGCCGCCGTTTGCTGGGCGCCGCCTTAATCAAGAGGAGGCGGGACGCTACTTTATCCTAAAACTCCAGTACTCTCACCAGCTCCGGCACTGTTCCTGCCTCCACTATCATCACCTTAGCATTTACTATGTCTGCGCTTCCTTCTGGATTATCCTTTTAGGTGTCGTTGCGACCACACATGCGTGTGCTACCGCACGAGTTACACGTCAATAGGCAAATGTATGTGTACTAGTATATGTACTGGCGATAATGTCCTAGCCAGCTTCAAGCGTTAATGACGTTGTTCTTGTAGGCGGAATGCCGTGATATCCATATCAGCCAGTCCACGAGCATCGTATTGAAAAATAGAGTTGGTGTCAGGAACGTGTCCAGCGAGTTCACGCGCACTCTCCAAGCCGTCGCGGCGGCGCGTCTCGGTCAGGGCGGTTCGGCGAAAGGAATAGAAGACATTGCGCTTGTACAAGCCCACCTGTTCGCACATGTCTTGCAGTTCTGCATTAAGGCCGCCGAATGCCATGGGTCTGTTAGGGAGTATCCCACTCGACTGATCCGACGAGACAAATACGGCTTGATCAGCAACCGTTTGGTGGACCTTGAGATAGCGGTCGTCACCGTCTAGAATTTCATCAAGTGATTGAACAAAAAGACCGCGGTTGTATACGAGGCCAAAGAGGAGAGCGCTGAGGTCAAATTCGTAACGGCTACCATTTGTGGGCAGGAACGTGAAGGTCCTGGCCCCACTGGTGTGATTTCTTGCGTATGGATTCCAATGGCCTTCGATGTATCGAAGCAGCAGCTCAGCGGAGATGCGACCGTCCTTCATCCGGATAAAAGAAAACATCACTCCACCGCAGTCTCTCGTCAGTCTCGCGAATCATGTCTGATCCGCCCATGAAGTCGCCTTTTTATACCCATGTGAAACTGTGAATGATCCAGGGCGCGCGCCTGTGATATAGGCGAGGACCCACGCGACGTAGTGCTGCTTAATGTTTAGGACACCATGCGTCGTGCGCATAACTTCCTGGAAAAATAAACCCAACTCGGCGTCGGTGAGGTTGTTTTTCTCGCGATGATGAGATGGTAGCTGCTCCTGGATAGCGATGTAGTGGATATGCGATTCGAGTTGCGATTGCCAGTCCTGGAAGATCGCCGAGAATCCATCAATGAATCGAACCGTCCACCAATACAGATCGTCTTTGCCCGCCCATAGCACCCCAGCCATGGGCTTATCTCCAAGCTTGTCCTTGGAGATAGCAATGAGACCAGTGAGATACTGTTTCGACCATGGGATGACGGTTGCGATATTCCACGCGTCGGTCGACCCATGAGCCAACTTGACAAACCTAGAGCAACGTTAATGATATTCTTTCTGAAAGAGGCGCGCAAATTACTGTTCAAAATCGGCCCGCGTGCGTTGGCGCCTTCTCACCGTCGAAGGTGCACCTGTATCGAAGAATGTTGATTTGTTAGACGACTCTTTGATTCTCTTGAGGTGAGTTTCATCAGCAAGAAATTTCTCCCAGGACGCTTTGCGCTTTTCGGTCACTGGTTTGGCTGGAGGGGCCGCCATGACGCGACGTAACGGCTGGAGAGTTTGTTGTCGGTGAAGGCAGCATTGTGGAAGCGAGATGTCGGGAGGAGGTGAAGGAAAGAGCGGTGGATTGGGGCAAGGAAAGAGCGTTAAATTTTAAAGGGCATGTAATGCTTACAACTCCTCGAGTTCCTTAATTACTACTGTATTAGACTTCCTTTTTGAAAAAAGTTAACCTGTTCCTTAAAAACTATGAAAGAGGGTATTTATACTCTAGAGTGGCAAGGCAAAAAGAAATGCAAAAAGTTGAATGTCAAATGACTCAGCCGAGGTTTGAACTCGGGACCTTCAGTGAACAATCCGAGTGGCTGTTAGACTGACGTGATAACCAACTACACCACCGAGCCAGTCGATATTTATTTTGCAGAGATTAAAAATATATATAATGTAGAAATAAAGAATATGCGCACCGTGAAATGATGCGCCGAGGGCGCTTGCCCAAGCGCTAGCCGATATCGCCCACTCCTTCGTCTACTACCTACTTCGCAAATCCTCAATCTCGCGAGAAACCGCGCTTTTACTCTAAAACTTGCACAAGTAACCTTTTCAAGGTTTGCTCGTTATCATGTGCGTTTGATGCACCGCTCCAGGACAACTGAAGCCTCCTCGAATCACGAAAGCAATCGATGCCCACGCGCTTGTCCACTACACTCACCATGAGAGCGAGTTTAACTCCGTCTTCATGATGTTATAGTCGTATAATATTTATCAATTGCTTTGGACCAATGCTAGATCTTACGCAGTCATGCACCGGGTTCAATCAAGTGCGCCTCGCCGTTGCGGTGGTGCCTGGATCCGCAGCAGAAAACACGAACATGGCAGGGGGAAAATCGACCTTTAACTTCTATGGGCCATACCTCAGGCACGCCTCCGAGGCTGAAGGAAAGCCAAGAGCCCCGGAACTCGCCCTCGTAAAAGGCAGGGTATTTGCTGTGGCTGTGCGACACCCATGTCTTTTCTCCAGGAGCGTACATATAGTTGACCGAATCTCACAATTCTCTTCGGTCACATCTTGTCTACTGTCATCGCTCACATAGAGTTCGAGTTCGCATTTCCTTTTCGAACCCATTGCTCAAAATGCCTGGCACTTCATATCCGCAGATTGACCCCACCACTTCCTCCAAATCCTCTAAAAGGCCTGTCGACAAACGCAGGGGAAAACGCAAACCCCTTGCCCGATTTCCTTATGAAGAATTTTCTTTCGATATGACGCCCACCTCATCCTCCCCGCTTTTCAAACTCCCACGCGAAATCCGAGACCAGATTTACGACGAGACCTTCCGAGACTGTCGCTTCAAATGTCGAGAAGGAAAACTCAGTCTGCATTTCGCATACGGCTCTCCCAGGCGACCAAACTGCAACAAGCTTCCAAGAGGACTGCTCGCATGCAAGCAACTACTCTTTGAAGGGATGTCACAATTCCACCGCGACGCTGTGTGTGTGCGGTATTCTGCCGGTAATGAGAACTGTAAACCATCGCCATCCCAGTTACTGTCTTTGTATCGGACGTCTCGGGTTCTATTGTTCAGTCCAAAGATGTTGTTTCCACTCAAGTTCAAATCCGGGCACGGAAGGCTAGAGGATGATTCTAGCATTATCGTAGTCCCCGACGAGGAAGCATCTGGACCAATTGTTCAAGACCTGTGCGACCATTTTCGCGGTCGTAAACATGGGATCAAGAGTCTCGGTATGCGCTTCAGGCTGCCTGAAGGCTGGCAATTTCCATGGGTGCAGAATGTGCAGCGTTGGGAGGTCGATCTGTCCAGTCTGGAGCAGCTAGGCTGGGAAAACTCATTCGACCGGGTAGAATTCGTCATCGAAACACCATCCTTAGATGGGACTGGAAGAGATGGGGTGAATGCAGTCCAAGGTGTCGCCATTGTGTATCGACTGCTCCAGCAAGAAGTTGAGAATATCGCGAAGCGGCTTGTAGGAGCGCGACAAGATGAGGATGAGTGCCTTGTACGAGATTGGCTAGATGGAAACAATAAAGGTAAAGACTATCCCACCGGAGATTGGCATATCCAAGTTCGTCGCGCGCCAGACGGAACTCGTCCAAGCCGAGCCATCGCCCACGAAGGATTGTCACACTGGAAGAATATAGCCTACGGCCAGACCTCCGGCCCCCGATTCCACCGCCTTGCGACACAAGAGTCTGGCCCGGTAACATTCTATCACAAAGCATCAGGAGATCGCATTGAGGTGGATGTTCCGACTGACGGACGCCCTATAGTCCCAGCAGAGGCTGGTCGCGAGAGAAAGAGATTCTGTGCCGATCCTAAGCACGAGGCAATGTTGATACAATGGGGGGTTTTGTAATGCACTGGTCCGTGGGTTCTCTATGGGGTTAAACGCCGATAAACGAGATGTAGATAACCATATAAAAATCCGCCTTTCCTATGAACGATATTTTTTATAAAATAGATCTAACGTTAGACCTCTTTTGCTAGTGTGGTATGATTCGAATTATTTGTCTTGTGTCTAAGGTAAGAGACGTAATGCTTCTCTAGTCGCTTCCAGCTTGTATGCATAAGATGAGCTTTGGGCGCGTTCCAAAGGCATGTTCAAATTCATAGATATAAAATGATCCTATGGGCGCTTCCCATGAGATTTCATCCTGCGCTGTTAGTGGCACCTGATTGCTCGCAAATCAAATAGCTCCTCAAGAGTTTCCAACTCTCTTCTTTAAAAAAGTAACCTTTTAATACACTATTTGATAGAAGAGTTCCAGTCTACAAGTATTTACTAAAAGGCTAAAGTTGTTCTCCCATGTCCCAGTTCATCGTGGGTGGATCGTTGATTGTCAAAAACAAAAACAATGGACAGGAGGGATTCGCTGCTCGTCACCGACGCAACTACTAATCTCCCGGTATGATGCTTAAATTTAGGAGAGCGAACGGGGTCCTTTGTTCTCATCATCCTATGGTCCATTGTGACTGTCCTTGCAGCATGCAAATTTATATAGTTACATTACAGCTATTTCACTGACGCAGTTTTGCCTACACCTGCTTGGATATCTTTGTGGACACATGTTCTCGCGCTTCAAAGTACGGTGAAGAGATTTGCGCGCTGTGGGTCGTACTTGAGCGGTTTCGGCAAAGTGTGGGTGTGGGGCCAATTAGAGGTCAACCCATGCTATCTCTTGGCGGATATGAAAACAACAAGGTCATCTTCCATCTACTGTAGACTGGCGTTTTGATTTAATGCTTATGCAATCTTGAAATGCTTTCCAATGAATTATTTATGTTCAATGGGGTATATCTGCATCTCTATCTATCTTCCAGTATGTCACCAGCCCATTCAGTGCGTGAGCATGTAGTGCAAATTCCGGCACTCTACGGCTCTGCCTGCCTTTCAAGAGCTTCTGCCCTACGGCGTTGCTCTCAGCTAAAACTACCTTTTTGTCCTCCGAGCTCGCATATATATCATATTCATCTAGTATCTCGTTCCCAATGTACAGCTCCGGTTCCTTGTCCCTCAGGAACGTGGGCAACAGGATGTACCAATCCACAAACGGCGCAAACACGAATGTCTTGTCCGTAATATGAATCTCAATATGGGATATTGTGACCTCGATATCTAGCGCGGCGAGGAAATCAAGGTCGAGAGGGGTGAAGGCAGGTTCCTGAGCATAGACCTTGATCGTCAATTCGGGCTTCGAGACTATGGACACATTAGCCTCCACGCCCACACATTCGAATACTCCGAAAGCGTACTAAACCGAATGACCTCGAGGAGCATCACAAGCTGCCACATGGCTCGATGCCGATGCTCCCAATCCAAGCTGAAACTCCCAATCCCAATGCACACAGCTTCCCCAACGTCCCAGCTGCGCTGTCCCATCGCCCCCTCTAGACCCCTCGCGCACTCAGTATCTCTCCACCTCTCTCTGCGCTGTCGCAAATCGTGCATCAGCATCTCCACCGTGAGCCCTTGCACCGTGCCCCTCGCCCTCACGCCATCCAATGCCACACCCTCGCCAGATGAAGCATGCGTAACCACCGTCCACCCATCTCCCGCCTGTACATTTTTTCTCTTTACGCGCCTTGTCCTCGGCTTCTCCGTCTCCCGAGCCGGCACGCTCATTGTGGATTTCACCCGGGCACGGAGTAGGAAAGTGACAGCGGATGCGGGTGCGGAAGCGTTGGGACCTGCATGGTCCGCCGTGTCGGGGCGGGAAAAACGTTGGATCAAGGTTGGGATAAGGTTGCCTTGTGCATGGGCGGGCGCTTAGGCTGGTGATGTGAGGGCTTTGGGGAGGCTTCGTGGGTGAATTGGGGAACGGGAGGGATGTGGGCGCTAAGGGCGTGGGTGTGCGGTGCTGGATGGGAGTTCTAGCCGCTTTGGGAAGGCTCATTGCGTGAAGCATAAACTGGGACGGCTGTAAAAAAGGGGTGTGAATCAGCCATTAGAAAGTGTATGAAGGATTTAACAAAAGAGAGAAACGGTGCCAGGTACTAGATAGATGCCCCATCCCCGCATCGTAGGCTGGTGTCCTGCCTAGTCCCAATGTAGGGACTGCTATGACCACCCCACATACCTTGAATGGCACGTTCTATAAGGTTATGGCATATCTAATGATATTTCCGATGATTTATCCGCTATTTCGTAAAGAAAAAGTAGGAGTGAAAGTCGGCTCGTCACCATTGGAAGTACTAGTACCCCCATGGCAAGCTTGAATTCGTGAGAGCGGTCGAGGTCGTTGGTCAGAGGTGCCTGCTGGCTAATGACGGACAAATCTAGAGAAGAAATAGAAATAGTACAAGAGGCTTTTAGCGTAGTATACCCTAAAATGCCACTCAAACGAAGCTGTGCCCGTATCCGGAACTCATCTCAGAGTGCATGCTCACCATGTCCTCCACCGCCTTATTCCATTACACGCCCCCTACGATCTCGCCCCCAAATCAAGCTTACTACATACCCTTAACTTCGCCCCACGCCACACCTAAACTCAAATGCTCCCCATCAGGCCACCCGGATGACGGCGGCCCAGGACGCTCACTCTCACTCCCACTCCCACTTCCACTCTCGGCACACGGCACACGGCGACCACATGCGTCACCAGCATCAGCACTTGCCACGTTCATTACAAATTTCTAGTATTCTGTCTCTGCCTCTGCCTCTGCCTCTGCATTCCGGCTCCCCAATGACCACGCAAACAAAGCAGCGCTAATGGGTAGTTGGAGGAGGGAAGAAAGTACAAGGGGAGAAATGTTAGGATTCCCCGGCGCCGGGCTATGTACATTGGAGCCGTGAGTGCAGAATCTCTAAACCTAAACCCTGTGAATCCACAAGCGCGAGCGCATGCCGAGCTGAGACAGCGGATACGCATTCCCCACCCGTCACA